GCCTATTCCGCCTACAAGCCATCGTCTACTTAGCAAAATAAAGGGGCAACAGCGAGACGTATTTTCAATCTCGTTAGACTTCGCTTTCACGAGGCATCCGTGTGATGTTTGTCGGATGTTGCTTTCCTCTTCGACTGTTCACCTTTCTCATTTTCCCATTTTCTACGACTCCTTCTTTCTATTTGTTCCGCTCCATTCTTCTTTTCCCTCTTTATCGTTTCTTTCTCTCTTTATCATGTTTTCCCTCTTAACATCTACTAAATGATCATCGTTATCGACCACTTGATCGTCTCATTCACAGTATTTATTGTTCTGCGTGGAGCTGCCAGGCAGCCATGTATATTTATAGATATGGAAATATATTAAGATTCTTTGTACCATCGGCGAACTTGTTCTTTACCTTGCTCGTACACCCGTATTCCTAAACAATTTCCCAATTCAATTAATCGAATAATAACATCAATAAAGTGGCAACATATGTCGAAGAAGGAACTCCGAGCAATTCGATGCCACGGAGTAAAGCTTCGGCAGATCCGTATGAGATTCTACAGTCCGCGAATTCCAAGGCTCATCGAAAGTAACGCTGAATGAAACGAACCGCGACACGACCAGAAGATTCGATATCGTGTTTTTCGCGTCGCTCGATACAGGGCACGAGAGCGTCCCTACTTCCGCCTTCTTCCTCTTTTTCGTCGCGATCAAGCCAGAGACGAGACGAAGAGAGCAGAGACGCGTTACCTACATACTGGAAACGCGCGAGCACCTTACGCACTTGCCTCGGACCTGGAAGCTTCGCGTACTAGCGCACACACGCACGGTCGAGCCAGACACACGATCGAGAAGTAAACCAGGCCGAGCGGGCCGACCAGGCCAGTCAGCATCCGCGCCGAGCCTTTTCAACGTGAGTCTAACACTCTCTATCATTTTGAAGAAAAGGCTGTGTCTCTCTTTCTCCCAGCATGCGTTGGCACAATCCCCTCCTACCCATCGGTCGATCGATCCTCTCCCTCTACCTTCTTGACGATGTGAGGTTCATCGATCCTCAAACACATCTTGGGTCAGGTGGTCCCGTTCTGAAGATGCCTCGGCCCTTTTCGACACTTCCGAAAGTCGTCCCGAGAGTCCACGAATCATTTACCTCCTTTTTCCGCACCGACTTTCCGTCTGTTCCACGTGTTGCACGAGATTTCATTAATGGGAAGATTGCTGAAAAAGAGTGGATTAGGTTCTTCTGTTTGGTGCGTAATATGAGAATTATGATCTGTTCGAAGTAGTATCAAGAGTGGAACGAATACAGTTTCTTTTCTTTCTTTCGTTCTATTCGAATGTGAGAGGCTAACGTAGGAGTGTAATGTAGAAGATTGAATTAGAATTATTGATATGGTATTAATTGGTTATTAGCATGATATTACTAGAATTTATTGAGTTATTTGTGCTGAATATAGGTTGCGGTTCGAGCTTCTTTATCTTCATTGTGTATTTGGAATTAGAGTTATGATCGGCTAGAAGTAGTACTGAAAGTAGAACGAATATGCGTTACCATTTGAGTTCTTTCTCTTCTTTATTGCGTTCGTATTATATTTGGGGGTTAATATGAGACAGCAGAAGAATAGATCACAGTAGTTAATCGTAGGATTATGATTCGTTAAAAATGGGATGGAAAGTGGAACAAATATCGGTAACAATTGAAGTTGTTTTCCTCTCCATTATGTATTTGAAGATTGTATAGGATGATGATGCTATAGATTACAGAAGCAAGAATGTAGAAAGAGAAGAATGAGAACTCATTCACGTAGGTGCATATATGTATATGGAAAGCTTTCTTTTTTCGGCTAATAGCAACTGAGCACAAAATTCGCGAATCAGGGTTGTCGGATCAGATATACGTAAATCGTGTTCATTCATTAGTGCCAGACGCGTCTCCGATTCTCCGCCGTGTGCTACTTTTTCTTCTCCGGAGTAGTTTCATTCATAGACTGAATTTAAGCTGGAAGATCGTCTGTTTCGAGTACCAAAGTAATCAAGAAGCTGCGTTATCACGATAGATTCACTCCGCACAAAAGTGATCAGTTAACAAATTTGTCAACGAACACATAATATAATACAACCAATAATCGTACACGTTGAAACCTCTTTACGAACTAAATTCATCCAACTTGAAACTTTATTTCTCTAGAATTTAGTGACTGATCGTTTCAATGAGAAATTCTATTATAGAGGGTTAGACATGATTTAAACACAAGGAACCATTTCCTATAACGTACGGATCGACATTTTCTACATTCACAGGGTTGTATGATAAAGAAGAAAGCACAAGGAAGAAAGAGAGAAGCACGAGAAGCTCGAAGCCTCGCTCCGTGAGGGCCTTGACCTGACCTCGATCCTCGGGCGAGTTCACTCTCGCCGGCGTCGAGAGGAAAGTGTTCCATTACCAGCTACGCTCAGTTCTGAGCCACCTCGTTCTGCCATCGAGATTAGCGTTTTGGTCATCGAGAATATCTGCACAGTCGCACAAACCATCCGTAATAATCATCAAAATAACGTGCGTTGCACTTTCATTCACGATACGTTTCATCGATCTGTAGATCGTTCGATCTATCAATGATAAGAAAGTTTTACCTTAAGAGAGAATCGAAATTAACCGACGCGACGTTAGTAGCCAGCCATGAAGATAAAGTGAAAGTTCTTCTTGGGAGAAGGTAACGTTGGCGATTTTGTCTTATTTTGGTCCTGTTGAGTTTTCTCGTCGTTTGGTTCTATTGATACGCGAGATGTTTGCACACACTTTCGCTTTATGGAATGGAAAATCGCGAAACTCGTTTCTAATGACTAGGTGGTTGGATGATGGCTGCGTTAGAATCTGTAATTGCTCAATCATTACCGAAGAATTTTTTCAGTAGATGTTTTTCTACATTATATCTTATGATCTTAAAATTCTTTATTATAATTACGGATTTTCATGCATTTATAGGAAATTTCAAAGCACAAAATGGCACAGAATGCATACAATATGAAAAAATATATGGCATATCCAAAGTATAGTATTGCCTATAATACTTGGCATATAAAACACTTTTGTGCAGAGGTTCTACTTTTTTTGCATAAAAATCCGCAGTCTAATAAAAAATTATTAACATTCATCGGCAATAAGACACTTACTCGTTATATTCACTGAAAAATTCTAATAAATCTCATCTTAATTATTACTGTTCGTTATAAAATACATGTGTGTGATGCAAATGAGAGGAATGATAGATTCATGATAAAATAACTAGAAAGTAAAAGCAATGAGCATTTAATATGTATTAAATACGAGTAGGTGTTTTAATATTCATGGCGGGCAATATACCTAAAATAAAAAAAATAAAAAATAGATGAGATTCACGTTACCATACTAATATCTTCTTTAAATTACTTTCTATTAAAAAGCAAGATAAAAAATACTCTTCGCAGAATTAAGTCATAAATAAAGACAGCGTGGAATTAAGGAATTTGAAGCAAGGAAGTCCGTTCGCGGAGAAAGTAGCGGCGATCCAATCTCGTGTTCGCGTCGATCGGAAACGACGCCTTTGCCCTCTCATCTTTTTCCTTCTCAATACATTTTTCTAGGTGTCTTCGGGGTCACGTCGAGGCGCGGCCGGTTGTTCTCCTTGACGAGGTCTGGCGCAGTCCCAACTCGTCCACGCACTACGGACATTCCATGAAAAACCGTTAAACGTTACGCGCGACTGTCGCAGGAATACATTAATTTCAAACAGTCTACCTGAACCTGTTGCATTGCTACTGATATTCGATTCTAACGAATAAGATGCTGAACAGGTAGAAAAATCTACCCAAGAATGCGAGACTTGATGATAACTTACGGGCATAGAAAAAAAATCCATCGAGATTCGTTCGTACATCGAAGCGGAATAGAACAACGGAATTTTAAATAGGTAGAAGGAAGAAGGAGAAAAGAATTCGCGAACTGGGTGCGTATGATTCGTTGAATAGGAGGTCGCTGCGAGGAAAGTTGCGGAGGCGTGAGATTGAAGTATCTTCTACATAATGCGAGGTATTATACGGTTTGTTGAAAGCGAAATCGCGGCGGTTATCGCTCGATCCTCCGTCTTCTCGATCCTTCCATGTACCCCGACTTTCAAAAAGTATTACGGGTCGTGAAATTTTATGATTTTCTCGGGCAAGCTTCTCGCAAAGTTATTTTATGAACTACTACTATGTGGACGTGGTAATTATATTCAAAACCAAGTTTCAATATTTTAAAATGTAGGTGATTATTCTAAAATACAGACAGGTTTGTAGTAATGTTCTGTGAGAAAGTAACTCCATTGTGTGGTATATTTGTAGAAGAAATTTTGAGACAACGCTATGAGAAACCATTACAACCGAGTTCTCAGCACCAGCGATCCCCCGTGAATATCATTGACCCTGAATATTCGATTTCTAAATACACCTTGCTCGTCTCTCTCCAGAAACAAATACGGTACCCTAGAACGAGAAAGTAACCGAGTTCTACGAACCTTTTGTCGTTTACACAAACAATTATCACGCTTTAACACTAATTTACCTAAAGATTCAACGTGGAACACAGCAGTAAAATATACCCAACTAATTAACAAACTCAAGACAACCAAACCGATGTAGTCAATCAGTTTACTTCCTAAATAACCGAAACCACAATTTCACCCTCGTCGATAGTACAAAATGGTATTTAATGATGCCAAGAATTCTTTATCAAAAAGTCATAGAACATACTGCAGCCCTGAGGCCAGAGGCCCGAATTTTCTCGGAAAGGGCTGCGGACACGTGACCACGCTTCTTCCAGTAATGTCCTCTCTCTCTCTCTCTCTCTCTCTCTTTCTCTCTCTCTCCCTCTGTCTCTCTCTCTCTCTCTCTGGTTCCCAATGACCAATCATCTGATGGGCGAGTGCGCGCGTGTGCAGAGAGCGTCAGGGCTGGTTCGAGCTTGCCCCAGCCAGAGAGGAGACAAGCGAGAAGGACCGAGCGAGCAAGCGCGCAGAGGCGCGTCAACGGG